TGTGAGGGCTTTAATGAACGTTTGAGGGCTTGTCCAGGAACTAGTCGTAAAATGACTTTTATGGGACAATTCATGCAAACAACTGGTGTCTAAAGTGAATGACCCTTTGTCATATACTAATCCAATGACCTTAGAAATATCCATCCTCAGAGAACTCTAGTGCTAAACACAGGTAGTTTTCTGCCTGGGAAGACAGGTTCAGTAGTCAACATTTTCCTCTCTAATTAGTCGCTAGTAGAAGCTGTGGAGGCCTGAGAATCAGTGTCTCAGAAAAGACTAATTACAGCCAGTTCTTGCATTCATATCTCGACCTCCCTTTAGCCATGCATATTTATACCCTGTTCATCAAAAAAGTAATTGTGCTAAAGTTGACTCTTATAATTGATAGTAGTAGCACCAGGTAGATGCCCGTTTTAGACAATTGCTTTAAATTTAATATTCCGATGTCTGAAATACATTCTATTCAGGAATAGAAAAAAAAGTGCTCCCAAATTCCTGATCCAACAGAATTGCAGAATCTTAGAAGGCAGAGCCCTGAAACAACAGGGCTCTGGTAACCTAAAGCAAGCCACAGAGCCTCCATTTGTTCGTCCTGCAAAATAACAGTAATCTAGGTGGTGTAGCTGGGTAAGATCAAAAGAAGAGCATTAGAAAATACTTTGTACTCTTATAGCATTATCTTATCCAACCCCTTACCCAAAGGAAAAAGCAGCCCCTTAGCATAACTGACAGCCTTTTCGTTTTCTTTTTTTTTTTTTTTTTAAGACAGTCTCACTTTGTCACCGGTGGTAGAGTGCAGTGGCATCATAGCTCACAGTAACCTCAAACTCTTGGGCTCTAGTGGTTCTTTTGCCTCAGCCTCCCAAGTAACTGGACTACCGGTGCCCGCCACAATGCCCAGCTATTTTGTAGAGACACATTCTCACTCTTGCTCAGGCGGTTCTCAAACTCCTGAGCTCAGGCAATCCACCCACCTCAACCTCCCAAAGTGCTAAGATTACAGCTGTGAGCCACTGTGCCTGGCCCATAACAGCCTTTTCTTAATCACCTTAATCCAGTGACAGCAGAGTTCATCTAAGGAAGTTCATTTTAGACAGTTCTAACGACTAGAATGTATACAGACACAACCTCACAGACACACACACAAATACATCCTTGAAAATCTGCTTTCTGACCATCCATTCTAGCTAAGAGCTTCACTAAGGGAAGGAACGAACAGGTCAGTAGGAACTTCAGTAGGAAGAGGAACGTGGGAGCATTTGCCACAGGGCTTATGACTGACTGCTCTTGATGCGTTTTCTGAACTGATTTATTTTGCTTATCAGGACTACTCTAGGCACGTAGACTGAATTTGCTTTCTCTGAGATCCCAGGAAGAGTCAGCCAACACAGATAAGCAGGTTCCTGCACTGCCCAGTAGGGTACCCACTAGCCACATAGGTATTTCAATTAAATGATTAAAATTTTAGTTCATTCCATGTGTTCACTGGCCACATGTGATTAGTTATTAGATGGCATAGATATGGAATATTTCCAGCATGACAGGAAGTTCTACTAAGTAGCTGTGTTTGATGATTCATTATTGCCTACAATGATGGGAATTGGTTAAACACTTCACATACATGCACTAAAACCTCAATAATGAAAGTTTTATAATCTCTTTAAAATGATTACATAATAGTCTGATTAACTGAGTTCTTACTGTGGACAATTAGAGAAAAAGGATGTCTTTTATTCCCAAATGAAGATCCCAGTCTTCATACTCTTTTCCAACAATCTTAGGAAAACAGAAATAGTTTTCCTATGTGGTTACCACACACTCATTTCTACTCATATTTAGAGATCTGAGTATCCCTCTAAGGCATAGGTCTTTAAATCATAAGGCACCATGCCAAGATCAGAACTAAAAGAAACTTGAAACCTTAATCTTGAAACATTGTTGCTCATTTCTTCCTGAAATGTAAAGACTTCTCATTTACTCAACTGCCGGACATGGTGAAGTAACTGCAGTTACTTAGTTACGCTACTTCTTTTATCACTTACCTGAGTCAGGATATAATATCTAGGGTTTGTATTAACTTTTCTCTTTATTAACAGAAAGAGTGTTCACACTGCCCTTATCTTGAAAATAGAGATGGATTGAGGAGGGTGAAACACATAATAGGATTCTGACAGACATATTCAGATAATGTCACAGCTTTAATTGGGAAAGGGGAAGCATTTATATCTTGATAGGTTTGCCCTTCAAGAGCTCATACCAGTCATTTGCCTCGTTGATTTCTTCATTGGTAAAACAGCATAACTGAAGTTGATGATCACAAAGGCTTCTGTGATTCTAATGACTTCCCAAAGTAACTGTGACCCACATTCTACCTATAAACCTGGTACAGCTCCCTCCCCAGCCCAAGCTGCTGCCACAACCCTCAGTCGTTGTGGCATGGCTGTGTCACTCCTGCAGTTTTTTTCTGGGACTTGGTAAATTGTTACAACAAATAACAGTATCCAACCCATAGGCTTTATTTTATAGCCAGCAAATCATTCCTTAAAGTGCTAAACTCCCAGAATCATAAGCCAGTATCCTAGAGGCATTTCTAGCAGTGGTTGGCAAACAACTGCCCAATGGCCAAATCTAGCCCACCTCCTATTTTTGTACAGCTATGGATAATATTTACATTTTTAAATGGTTAGAAAAACAAAGGCTATTTCATATTTTATGAAAACCATATGAAAGTCAAATGAAGAACACAGTCACATCTATTTATTTATTGTCTGGACACTTGTGAGCTATAACAGCCAAGTTGGGTCGTTGCTACACAGACCCTATGGCACATAGGCCTAAAATATTTACTATTTGGCCCTTTACAAAGTTTTCTGCCCCCCTGGTAAAGAGCACAGATGGCTTGGCAACAAGCTCAGCTCTGTGCTTCTTCCAGTTGGACAAATTCTCTCAGCTCCTCTGTTCTTCAACTGTAAATTGAGGATAATAGCACCTACATTGTGGGGTTTTACGAAGATTAAGTGAATACATAAAATGCTTAGATAGGATTGGGCACATGCTAAGTACTATACAGTATACATTTGTTGTTATTATCAGATGCCACAATTTTTTCATAAACTAAAGCAGCAGCAGCTCACAAATTTGCTCCCAATGATTGTAAGAATTTCATTTGCAGCACTCCATTAAAACTTAATTCTTTAGCAGTAGTCAAAAGATGTTTAAAGAGAAATGACAATTAGCATAGTCATTTACAGACAGCTAATTCTGTATTACTTAAAAAATGTTACATGCTTTATGCTTTTTTCAAACTTGAGTCTTCAGATTATGCTCAACTTGGAGGTTAGCCCTAATCATCTATTCCTTATAGCTGGTTACCTCTTTCTGAAGAAACAGGATTCCAAACAGAGGCCAAGGATCTCATAAAATCATAATCTACATGATGATTGTTAAGGCATTTAAGAACAGTAACCTGCCTTCTGAATCAAACACAGAATAGGCAACGCAGTTTTCTCTGCTACAAGGCAACAAGAACTATTAGAGCTTTCTCCTGATTTGTGACTAGGCTATCCAAAAAGAGGATTCAAGTGGGAAACTGTACATAAGAGGAAAATAGTGACCTAGTAAAAACACCTGGGCAAAGCCCAGTACCACACTGGTAGGTGCTCCAGTATTTCTTAAATGCTGCTAACTCTTTCAGTGTTTCTGAGCAACTTCTACAGGAAATACTATGAATCTTACGCAATACATTTCTCAAAGGTTAAAATTCAGATAATCTTTAAGTCTAGTCCAGGGGAGGGCGAGCAAGTCATTTTTTGCATAATGGAAATTGCACAAAACAAAACCAAACAAAAATCTCTCACCTGAATTGCTTCCAACTGTTCAACTAGGTGAGAAAGAAAACTGTTCTAAGAAAAGGAAAACATTTTCTGAGTAATCTAAGTGATGTTCCAATCTCTCACCTACCTGAATATATTTGCCCACACACAGTTTGCTCTACACTTTTCTTGTATGAAAAGTAGTTGAATAATTTGAGGGAAAAGAGGTTGTTTTTGCCTCAATCATTCAGATAATCCAAACAATTCATTTTTCATAGAAGGATCTGGGCGAGGCTGGCAGTCCTGCCCAGAAAACGTCCTCTGTCCCACAAAAGCCTCATCTAAGCTACGCCCCGCTTAATCAGGTGATGAATTGTCTCCTGGCAAGGAAATACGCCATTATTCAAGGAAATGTGGAAACAACCACAAGCCAAACTCCCCCTTGCACCGTCCCTCAAGTTTATTCCTGTTTTCCAAGTGCACTTTCATATTTTAATATTTCAGTACCTCCTTCACCCATTAGCATCTAAGACTAGCCCTAACGCATTCAGCCCTCTCTCCACAGTACTGTGCTCTGCTCGTAGCCGGTCCGCCCTGACCAGTAGAGTTGTATAAATAATAAATGTGCTAGAAAATAGTTAAGGAGGAAGGAAAAACAAGAATTCCCGGAGCACAGTATCGGTGTTGGAAAGTGCCACTAATTTTGAAGGGAGGAAAGTCTCCAGTGTGAGCTACATCGCGGGTCATAGGTCACCACCGTACCTTCTATCATGCACAGCCTGGGCACAGAACAGGCAACGACACGTAACAGCACTGGGAGGAAAGCCGCGCGCGGGACAGAAACCTCGCGCGGGAGGCGGTGGCTGAACTCGTCCCCCGCCCTCAGGAGCACTCGTGGGCGGACCCCATGCGGCGCTGTGGGGCAGGGCGCGCGACTGGGAGGAGGGGCGGCGGGGCGCGCGTCCAGGAGGCGGGGCACGCGACAGGAAGGCGGGGCGGAGGGCAGGGCGCGAGTCCTGGAGGCGGGGAGGAGGGGCGGGGCGCTGGGCCGGGAGGCGGGGCACGCGACTGGGGGGTGGGGCTGAGGGGCGGGGCGCGCGACTGGGAGGCGGGGCTGCCGACTGCGGGGTGGGGCACGTGGCCAGTAGGCTGGGAGGGGAGGCGGCTGGGCGGGTCGCGCAGCCGGGAGGCAGGGCTGCGGGGCGACGAGGCGGCCGTGCAGTCGGCACCATGGCGTACCCCGGGCACCCTGGCGCTGGCGGCGGGTACTACCCTGGAGGGGTAAGTATTGCCCTCCCGGGCTCTGGAGATGCCGCGGTCAGCTGGGTGAGGCGCTGCTGAGCGACTCCGCGATGCCTCCCGCCTTCGGCCCCTCCTTGCGCGCTCGCGGCCTCACCCTGGGCCCTGCTGTTCGGCCTCCGGTCTCCCTCCTTCCTTTCTCCTTCCGGATTGTACCTGGGTGGGGCCGAGGCACTAGTAGATTGGGACCCAGGAACCCCACCCTGTGGCTCTCGGATACGTGGTGGCGGAAATTGTGCTAATTGGGCATTGGCTTCTTTTCCCTTTTCAGTTTCCTCCAAAAGCGACATTTTTTTCCAGAATGGTTCAGCGAGGTCCCTACATCCCTTTAAAAAAAAAAGGGGGGGGGGGGGGGGAAAGGTCCAGGCAAGTCCGCTAGAGTGAAAGTCCTAGAAGAAGGCCGCCTCGCCGGGCGTCTGGGATGCGCGTTGTCGTGGAAACTGGTTCCCAGACAGAATGTTCCCTCGTCACCCACGAGGTACAGCCTGGACAAGAGGCCTTACTCTTCCCCAGGCTGCACCTGTCTCTTCATTTTACCAAATTCAGCCTTCTCTGATACTTAAAATGCTTTTAAAATAGCATAAAGGCTATACAAACAAAAAATTCTGAGCCCTGCCCTTAAGTTGCTTGCTTAGGGTACTTTTCACCTCAGCAATCTGCAGGTAAATAGGGATTTTAAAAGTTGTTTCACATAAACAGGTTTAACTTTCAGGACAACTACGGTGTTTTTGGCCCAAGTGGCCAGTTTTAAAGTACAGGGTGAGAAAGTAAGAAGGAGGTGGAGTAATTGTAGTTAGTGTGTGCAGGGTGGTGGGGACATAAACCTTGGAACAGGCGGGCACGCGGTCATTTCCCTGGCTTTGCACAAAAGTTCCCAGTGGTGAAAAAATAAAACTTGAATCAGCTGAATGATGCATATGCGTTTCTTATTTCACAGTATGGAGGGGCTCCCGGAGGGCCGGCATTTCCCGGACAAACCCAGGATCCACTGTATGGTTACTTTGCTGCTGTAGCCGGACAGGTTAGCTTTACCTTTAATATTGAAGAATTGTCATATTCTCCATTTGTGTTAGTTTTTGCCTTAGTGACACGCACAGAATGAGCTTTCTCCTGGAAGTGAGTCCTTTCGCTTCTGCAAAAGAAAAAGAGAAAGAAAGTTCTTTATTTTAGGTTTTATTTCTGAGTAGTCAGAACAAATTAGGACAGAGTGTTAATGTGTTTTACATTCAGTTTGAAACTAAACTTGTGATTGAATTAGGGTCAGATTGAAGAGACGAGGGATTATAAATATACTTTGAATATCTGTGAAGTAGATGTTTTTAGAACTGAATTGTCAGGATGTAGGGTAGTTTCAAGAGAAGAATTTCAAGATCTGGTGTACATAAACTTCTGTTTATGTACCCTCACTACTAAAAATTATGTATCCAGATTCTAATGAACATTTCCTTTGAGTTGAATTGGATTGTGATCATTTACTCCATTAGGAAATAGGTAAGTATGGTAAAAACCCACCAGCTTCAAAATGTGAAGCTACTAGCAACACGAATGCTTGCCGTGCCATTTCGCAGTTCTCTTCTCTTTCCAATTCAGAGAATGAGTTCAGGCTAAGTAGGAGGTGCACTTTCTACTTTCTGAAAGTAGATACTTTTCTCCTTTTAGTATCAGGAAGTTAATCTTGTGAACAATTTAGTTTCTTTTTGATGTAGGTGCTGTTACTAGTTTGGCTCTTTCATGTCCATATTAGGTGTTGTGGCCTGTTGACCCAGAGAAAGAATTATGATTAGCTCTCTAAGACCTCCTTCTTCTCAACATTCTGAATAGAGTGGTAGGTGCTGGTTTACCTTGAGGGAGGACACTTCTTGGCTTATGAGATCATCGTGTATAGTAATATACCACTGGTATAACCCACAAATGTCCCAAAGGGATGTTTATTCTGTGAATTCAACATAATCTTGTTTTGATCAAAAGCTAGAAATAGAAAATTCTTAATGTGAAAACTCTTTAGAATGTTATGTGATAAAAGCCTAAGACCAACTTTTGAAGTAGCACTCTTAGAAATAGCTTGAGAAGCTGAATGGAAAATTGAGTCTGGAAGACTTTCCTCTTAAGTATCTGCTTAATCTATTAATGATCTGTATCTTTGAAACCACAAGACTTGGCAAACCTCAAGACTAACATTCTTAGATTGCCAGCCTCCAGTGTGTAAGTGACCCCACCTACTTATCTTTCAGCAGCCCAGGCATCCTGTATTCAGCATACCCATTGTCTTTCAAATCATTGATCCTCCTGCTCTTTTATAACTTATGACACCCATGGATGTGAGGATTTAGGTATTTTATTTTTAAATTTTTAAAAATAACATGTCTCTAACTAAAAGAAGTAAAAATAACTAGTTCTTACCTAGTTTAGTTAATGAGTGGACACTGGGAACCCAACTTGTATCTCCCAGATACAATTGTGCTCTGAAGAAAAAAAAATTCACCATATCGTAAGAAATGTTGACGAAGGCAGCCTCTTTCTGCTTGAAGCAAGCCTTTTATTTACTCATGCTTGCTGTGTACCCTACTCTCTCCCTCCCTCTCCAAATTAAAAAAAAAAAAAAAGAGGAATAGGAATATGATTTTTAAGCAACTTCGTAAGTTATGTAAAATGTTTAGCTTGGGCAGTTTCCTAGCTCAGACTGAGAGAAGAGTAGTTGCCAAGAGAGATTCTTTCATCATTAAATTGTTTCTGAATGAAGAATGAGGAAAAGAATGCCCACTTTGGAAGGCATTCTTAACAAACAAGCGTCTCATGCGTGATACTCATTTGCTTTGTTACCATTGCTGCATTGAATGTGAGCGATAAACAAAAGTACAGATCACTATTGTGATTCATCTTCCTTTTTTACCCCAAAAGGATGGGCAAATCGATGCTGATGAACTGCAGAGATGTCTGACAGAGTCTGGCATTGCAGGAGGATACAAACGTAAGTTGACAGCCCCAAAGTTTCCCTAAACATACCCTTGTGTTTGATATTTTAGCTGTTACTAAAAATAGCTGTTTAAAGGAAACAGTTTTTCTGATCCAGGAAAATTTAAAATTTCAAAAGGTAAATTAGATTATCATTTACAGACATTGATTTGAAAACAGTTCTTAATATAAATCATTTCACCTTGACTGCCAGCTTAGTGGATTTCTCAGATTTAGGTTTTATGTATCTGGAACTATTCAAACTAGTACGAGACAGTTTGGGTGGCCTCCTTCACAGAGGACAAGGTGCTGAAATGAAATCTGCCAGGTCAGGTGTCATTAATGATAGGAGCTACATTTCCTGCTGTTTGCCAAGAGCTTACTCTGTACGGGACCTACTGGCACTTAGAGCTTTGAGTGATCATCCCTGCACCTCTGGTCTCCGAATGGCCTGTCCTGCACTCCTGGACTTGGAGCCCAGGGCATGCTACTAGCAACACGAATGCTTGCCGTGCCATTTCGCAGTTTTCTTTCCAATTCAGAGAATTGAGTTCAGGCTAAGTAGGAGGTGCACTTTCTACTTTCTGAACTCCTTACACTAGTAGTTCTCTCTCTTCTCAATTCCTGGCAACTAGACCTGGTGCCCTATAATTCAGCACTTGCCCCACCTTCCTGCCTTTGGAGCTCTCTGTGCAATGAGCTGCAGGTAGGGAAATAGTGCAAAGATAATAAAAATAGTGCAAAGATAAAATAATGCTGCATCCCAGTTGGGGGCCTCCTCTCATTTCCCTATATATACCACATGTTTTCTCTTGAAGAGAGATCTTGACCATGACAGAATTCCAGGATAGAGAACAGTATCTTAGCTCCAGAGTGTTACTTGCCAACTTCTTTGCTACTTGTTTTGGGATAAAACATCACATTGAAGGCCCACTTTCATGATAACCTAAGGATTAAAATGTTCGAACTAGAATTCATACCTAAGAGATTGCAGCAGTATTTATCAACTGACATGGCATATCTACTAGATGGCTGTCTTTGAACTATTTGTGTTTCTATTTTTATCAACCTTTGTTTTATGTGACTTCAGTATCCTACCACTGTTTCCTAATTGGATGAATTAATGAAAAAAGAGATACATTTGAATATGTATCTTTTTCAGGGTTTTTTGTCTCCTGTTACATTAACTATTCATCCATTATACCTAACTGACACTAATATTGCTTTCACACACTGAGGGGAGACTTTAAATTTATTTATTTATTTATTTATTTATTTATTTTGAGACAGATCCTCAAGCTGTCCCCCTGGGTAGAGTGCCGCGGCATAGCTCACAGCAACCTCCAACTCCTGGGCTCAACCGAGTCTCCTGCCTCCGCCTCCGGGGCCCGCCTGGTCCCGGGCCGGCCGTCTGGCCGTGCCGCTGACGTCTTTCCTGCCGCCGCCGCCGCCGCCGCCGCC